AAGACAATAGGGGACAAACTAGTTAGTTTCCTGGTAGATACTGGTGCAGCAGACTCAGTCCTGACCCAGCCAGTGGGCCCCTAACCTACCCCTGGACTTCAGAGAGACTATAGACCTTGGGGAAAATACTGTGACTCATTTGTTTCTGGTCATGCCAGAGTGCCCATACCCCTTACCCAAATGTGATATTCTCCAGTGACTATTCAATTGCTGGCCACTGTCACTCCAGGCCAGCCCCACATCAAGTTTCACAAGGCATCGGCCATCAATCCTGCCAGCCTGCCTCCAGAGGATTACCAGGAGAATCCTCTACAGGACTGCATGGAGGTAATTGACATAGTGTAGACAGCCCACCTAGACCTCAAGGATGTCCCACTGCCATCATTATGTGAGGTATTGTTCATGGATGGGAGCAGCTAGGTCCAGGAAGAAATCAGGTATGCTGGGGCAGCGTAGTAACTCTGGACCATGGTGTCTTGTCAGAGTCCTTGACTAGGGGAACTTTAGCCCAATGGGCCAAACTCATAGCCCTAATCCAGGCTCTCTGATGGGGCAAGAAAAATCTGCTGCAAATCAGAAAGCTCAGGAGTCAACCCTAAAACCAGTGGGGGCCTCTCCAGATATACTAGGTCAGAAAATGACCTAGCCAAGCAGAAACAAGCCATAAAAGAAATCAATGGGTGGTGGACACTACCTGATGGGAGGTTGTTAGTCCCAGAGGCTCTAGGTAGGACTTTAGTCAACTAGCTGCACCAGACTACCTGCTTAGGTTACACCAAGCTTACTGAACTCCTGAGAGGCAGGTAATGTCCAGTTAGGTCACAGGGAAAGGGAGAAGGCGGAGGGAGCAGGAATGTGTGGGTCTGAGTAGGGAGGAGGAGAAGAAAAACTGGGGAATGTGCAGACAGCAGATAGATTGAGCAAGCTCTCAGGTTCATGTCAGGGGAAGGACTAGGAAAGTCGCAGAGGGTCTATGCAAGTTAAAGAAGGATTGTGTAGAGGGAAGAAATAAAAAGAAGGATTATTCAGAGGAAATAAAAAGATAAGAAAGGATAAAAGAAAGGGGCGTACATATTACAGGAAGACCAGACATTGGAGGAATGCTCAAGAAGGGGAGAAAATAGGACACTAGGAAAAAGAGAGCGTGCCCCTGGTGACGGAATAACAGCCTGGGACGTAGTAAAGCGAGTAACAGGTTTAGGCTACTCCTGACCCTTGGATCAGACAATGGCCCCACCTTTATAGCAAAGAGATCATAGGATATCTCTAAATGGTTAGATATACATTGGAAGCTCAGTTGTGCTTACCACCCACATAGTTCCGGGAAGATAGAGCACATGAACAGGACCTTAAAGGAAACCTTATCCAAATTACTTTAGAAAATGGTGAAAACTGGACCACTCTGCTCCCCCTTACCCTCTTACAGTTCTTGCAGGCCCTGCAGTCTGCCCAGAAAGCTGTCCATAAACACGTCTGCGGCATCCTGCCTGTGCCCACCTCGGACCCTGTGCACCCTTTCCAGCCTGGGGACTCAATATGGCTAAAGAAATTCACCACCGAGGGAGTAACTCTGGCCTGGAAGGGACTATACACTGTCGCCCTGCCTGCACCAGCAGCTCTCAAGGTCAACAGCATCCCGATCTGGCAGCACCATCCCTGGCTGATGGGGAAAAGCAAAATGGACAGTTCAGGCCTCTCCAGATAAGACTCTTACATTTATCGAGACTCTGATTTTTCTGGTTATGACTGTACAGGGGAATCCTTATAGACCTGGGTCCCAAAGGAACCGGGAACTTAGAAATGGTCCTACGGGACAGGAGAGGATTAGACCTCTTATTTCTTAAGGAAGGAGGATTATGTGTTGCACTGGGAGAGAAATGCTGTTTTTATGCAAATAATTCAGGGATTATTCAAAAAAGTTTATCACTAGTTAGAGAAAAATATCGAGGAACAAGAAAGAAAAAGGCGACAATCTGAAAATTGGTTTACAACTCTATTATCCGCCATTGCTGGCCCTCTCACTATATTATGTTTACTCCTAGCCCGTGGCCATGTCTAATAAACAGTCTCATAAAAACTGAGTCGAGTCAATGATTTGACTTGTCAGGAAAACCAGTGGGGAATGACCTGGGCCCCTAGACTAAGGCGACTAGATTCCATTCTTATGTAGGCCTTGGTGACTACTTTGGCTAAGGTGACTAAATAACTCCATTTTTATCATCAATGGACCTTCCTCAATATTTTTCCAATAATAGGATAATTGCTCCTGGAAGTAAAGGAAATTGGCCTAAGATTATAGCTGCCTCACATGTTGGGAGGTATTTGCAGTTTCTGTCTGTCAGAAACTGCAAATCATGAGCCCAGTGAATAATGCTAATTTTGACTTCTGTAATAGCTGTCACACCCACTATTGTACCGGTCCCCTGAGAGGGGGCAAAGGGGGAAGGGGCTTCTGTCTTTAAAATAGGAAGAGCAAGAAGAGAGCAAGAAGAATCGGGGCTGCCCTGGCCAGTTTGGCTCAGCGGTTGAGCATTGGCCTGCGGACCAGAGAGTTCCAGGTTCGGTTCCCGCTAGGGCACGTACCACAAAAAAAAAAAAAAAGAAGAAGAATCATGGCTGAGGATCTGGGGACGCTGTACCCCCGGCCCGCTGGAGTAATGAAGTGCTCCTTTACAATTCGACTGTGCGTCTCTGGTCATCTCTGCCACATTACAACATAACCTCTGAGCCAAACCGGAGAGGGCCCAACGCTGACCTGTTATAAGGTTGATGTTTATAAGTTCTTTTGATTGTTGGTGAAATCACCATTATATATATACCTTTTTTTTTCTGTTCTCTTAGTGAAATTTATTGTTTGTTCTCACAGGAAGGCACACCTAAAAACTGATCACAAATGGTCACACTTGTCTTTCACAGTCGAGATACAAAGGCATGAGCCCGATGAAATTATATACTAAACCACTTTACCATTACCCCCAGAGAAAAAAACTTGAACTGCATTCAAGCTAGTGTTGTTTGTAAATAACCATTATGCATTTTGTTTTCATTCAGAATTCAGATTTTTAAAAATCATGAATAGGTTGATGTGGTTAAAATAAAAGTTGGAAAAATATTCACAAAGGTTTACAGTAGTCTTATAATAATAGTTCATCAACTCTAGCCCTAAATGGCAATGAATTCAATTACAACAATGCAGTTTCCCTTTAGACGGCTTTAGTTCTGATAAAGCTTTCCTAAAATAGAGTCTCAGAAACCCCAGGAGATGGGCATACCCACCCGTCAACTGCCTTGCCGTCGGTCCCCAGGAGGGCAGCTTGGCCTCTGTTAACTGGTAGTTTCTCTGAGCGGGCACTCTGCCTTGTAACATTAGCTTATCATTTCTCTTGGACTTAAACAAAGAGGACCTGACTGTGTGGTGTCAGATCAGAAGCAGATGCTGTGTGTCTGAGGAGAGCGCAGGGGGAATGAGTGAGAGTCCTCACAATGCTTGGTGATGCGCTTAAGATTAGGGTCTAGCCATCACTGCTACTACTGGAAGGGCTTGTCTTCCCATTTCTCAATAATAGTAATTTATGAAAGGAGTGGGGGCTCAGTAGGGGAAGTGGGGGGGATCTATAATACTTTCAACAATAAAGATAAATTTTAAAAAAGAAATACATACTGTACTTTTTACGTAACCTCATGAGAGGCATTAGGTACTTAAACAAAGTGGCTCTAATTGCCTAGCAGCCTGTAATTACGTGTTACAGTTAGGCCAGGTCAGTCAAGGTGTGATCTATTATTTCACTAATAATTCTTTTTTCTGTTGTAGTAGGAACTCTTCCAATAGTGTCTGGGGAGAAGGGGGGAAATAAATCCCTGACATTTTTTCTTTGAATCAATTTAAATACACACACACACACACAAACCTGCAGTAAAAGCTTACAATGAGTTTTTGCACTATTAGATTAGGCTAATCTGAACAGAAGTATTTATGTAGCATGTGCAGTTAAAATATAACCAGCACCACAACTCATTACAGCAGACACTTCCATTAGCACTCAGAGGACGTAGTGAATATGCACTTAATGTTGAAAGATACCGTAAATACAGATGTAGTAAAGGGCACTGCCTCCAAAATTGTACGTTATAATAACTGGGTTATGTTGGAAGGACACAAATGCCGCATTTCCAGAAATAGTCCAAAAAGTTGGCTTTATACTTTCAAATGCCTGAGGCGGTCACTAGAGGGGTTTGGTTTATCAGGACTTGAGATATAATTCTGTCTTGGGAGAACCGTGTGGGGGTGGAATCAAGATTCTTGCCTGAGGGAGAAAAACGTAAACTGTTTTCAATTACATAAAACCGAAGTGGGCATATGACAAGGCTTAGCCTCGGAAGGGAATGTGATGGATGGAGCGCCCCACAGATACGCACAACTGTTGAATTCCTGCTGCTTCTCCTGTGGATGCGCGGGGCTCACCTGGGTCACATCTGCCCTGACTGCAGGAAGTCTTACTGAGGTTATCTCCATGAGTGCTCTCCTGTTTGAAATGCTCTGCCTACAGTCTGCCTGCAGGAACAGAGGAGGTTATGTGGATGGTTCAATGGCATTCCAGATCGTTAAAAAACGATTTTGAAAGGTTCTGAATGTTTTCCCTTTTATGTCATCTCATCATTGCCTACCTTCCTCAAAAGCAGTTCTTAGCTTATAAGCAGCAGAGGACGGAGCATTCTGTCCCATGAAACTTTAATTTGGGTAATTTTTAAAGGAGAGTCTATATTTCTTTTATAATAACACTTCTTGCTTCTTGAACTTTTCCAAACAAATAGGAAGGCTGAAATATGAATGTTTATAAAGGCAGGGGAAATTATAGTTTTAACTTTTTTTACCATTCACTATAAAATTACCACCCGGGTCACTAAATTACATATTTATTTCTTCTGGGATGCCTGCTCATTTGAACACCTATATTTAATCAGAAAATTAAAGCACAGGGAGAAAGGTAAAAAGCGATTACCTGTAAAGTATAGCATGCAGAGTATGGTGATGCGGCTAGCAGAGAGCCCCCACTGTGAGTAATGCTACCAGAGAAGCTGGGCTGTATGAAGGGAGGAAGTAGATTAAGATGATGTCATCAGCTTGGCCTTACTTCCAGAACCAAAGTGGCCATGTCATGGGGATTTGAGACGCAACCTGGGGCGGGGACTGCCTCATGGTTTACAGCGTGTCTCCAGCTGACTCAGAGCCCTTGCCCACCTTTCAGCCAGTGATGCTCCTGCTGATAGAAACGTCAATAAGAAAATCCTACCATCAAAGCACTTATTATTCCAATTTTAATATCATTGTCAATTTCTTGTCAGGCTACAATGGAAAAATATTCAAAGAAATAGGAACATCTGGAAATACCTCATTAACATCCACTATTGTTATTTGCTTATGTGATCTTTGCGTTCTTATGATCCTTGTTTTATGAAACATACTCATCTCCATAGCCATTTACACTAGGAAAGAACACAGGGAAAAGGGGAAGGAAGCAGGGAACGTACGAAGGCAGAGGAGTATTGACAGGATAGGATGGGAAATGTCTTGATGGAAAATGCCACATGGACCTTTCTCCTCCTCAGTTCCAGAGCCCCCTCTAGGATCAGAGCTGCTTTCTTGTGTCCTTTTTTTGCCACAGAAAACACTTTACATTTGGGAGACCCTCCAACATGGGGGACACCCCATGTATTTTCTCTATCTAATCAAGAATGACTTTGGACAGTTCCTCCCAGGGTCGTTAGTATTCTAGACTCGAAACTTCAGTGTTTTGGGTTTTTGAGGATTTAAGTAGTTTTAAGGATGTAGCCTGGCCTGGAGCTGAGCTTCTGCCTGCAACTTCAGACTGTGATGTATTTTAATAGGTTTCCTGTCCTATCTCTCTGTTCACAGGTTGATCTATGAAAACCAATAATATGAAGTCACTATGCCATTTCCCGTACCTGAAATATTAGTTTCAACTTTTATTTTTCTCTTTTACAGAAAACTTTCATAACAGAAAACCTTCAGGAAAAAATATGACACTATTGGAAATCTACAAGCTATATACAGCCTGCTGCTTTTCAGAAATATTGACTGGTATATGACTATCTTTCTCCTCGTTTTTTCTTTTAAGTTTTCATTCATACTGGCTAAGTTTATAGACTCACATGCGACCTGCTGACAAACAGGGCCAGACAATTTTGGGTTTTGTTTCTCTAGGTGATTGGAAGTTTCTTATGGGGAGGACCCTGTTCTTCTTTGTCACCCTTAGACCCAAATATAAAGTCTGACATCCAATAAGTGCTCTACTGGTGCTTTTGAAATCAAAGTGTTGAATGCATATCATCAAAGTTCATTCATAAACAGAGTAGAATATTTCCTATTTGTACCTTTTAAAGCAGTTTCATATCAGTTTCTTCACAGTACTCGGGTGCAGAATTGGTCTCCCATATTTACTATTGTTGCATCATAATATTAATGAGTTTGCTACTATCAGAGTTGAATTACTGTCACCATTCAAAGACCCCACATCTCTACTACAAAGTAGTTCTTTTGGTTCTCCAGCATGGAGAAATGTCACCTGGAGTCTGGTTGGCCTGGAATCACTTGGCTTAAGCAAGATCTTTTGTGACAATGTTGGAACAGATAGATGGCACCTAACCGGTGATAATTATACTAGTGAATATTTCAGTGACACTTAGATTGAAGATAAGCTTTCCTGCATGCACAGCCTGATGAGATGTAATTTTGTCACCTTACGTGCCCAGTTTAAATAAACTTACCAAACAATGCTGACAGAAAAATAGTGTAGTCAAGAGAAAAAATTAGTATTGCCTTCATTTTTTTTTTTTTTTTATCCTCACCCGAGGACATTTTTCCATTTTTTGTTCAGATAGAGTGGGAGGGAGAGAGAGAAACATCAACGTGAAAGAGACACATTGAGTGGTTGCCACCCACACGACCAACCAGGGCCGGGGACAAACTGCAACTGAGGTACGTGCCCTTAGCGGGAACCGAACCCGGGTCTCTTTGGACCGCAGGCTGATGCTCTAACTGCTGAGCCAAACCGGCCAGGACTGCCTTCGCTTTTTGTTTCCTCCAGCAGCCTCGACACATTTAGAACTATCTCTGTTGAGAGATCGACTGAGAGGAGGCAAGGAAGGTCTTTATAGTTAGATCTGGCTTGAATCTCAACCTGATAACTTTGTATCCATGGGGACTTGGGAATTGGATTCGCTCATCCAGTTTTCTCTTCTGTAAAGTAGAGAAAATGCATAACTCCACAGGGTTCTGGTTAAATAAACATGAAGTTTCCAGCACAGTGACTGCCAAGGTAAGCTCATTTTAAATATTAGTTAGATTCCCTTCTCAAATATATCTTGTATTGATCTTAATATTTAGAGTTGAAAATTCATGGGAGAGAAAATATAAAAACTTCATTTAATGATTTTGGGTGTTTTTTTATGAATTGATCAACATGCTAAGCATATTGAGTAACTTATCTTCAGTAATAATTTATACTTCACTTGAGTATAGAGTGAGTAATTTATACTTCACTTGAGTATAAAGTGAAATGAAAGTGAGAATTTTGTTTTTATGGAAAATCATGATAAAATAATGGGGAAAAGTCTTTGTGAATCAGAAGGCCCATTGCTAGTTCTACTTCTGCCCAAATGCAATACATCAAACATGAAATCTATCTTCTCTTCTTTAAGTTTGTTCATCATCCCAACTCTTCCTGTGAGACAGTCTTGAATCATCTATAGCAGACATCATCGGGTTGTTTTTCTCATCTTCCCTGCATCTAAGCAGTCATTAATTTTGTGGCTTCTTGCTTCATAATGGCTTTGTCATCTACTCCTTCCTTCTCATTCCCAGTGCTAGTCCCCAGTCCAACCCTTACCTTGTTTGCAGACAATTGCAGTAGTCTCCTAATAGAACTTCCCATTCCATACTTATCCTCAAAAAGAAAAGAAGAAACCTAATTGCTTCCAATAACTTTTTGTATAGATTACTGAAAAGTTGAATATCTTTATAACTAGCTGCTGAACTTTCTCATAGATCTGACTAGGGTGACCACGTTATCCAGCTCAAGCACTTGCCGTGGGCTCCAATATAACTGGAAACCCATGGAGTCGTACAGTGGATAGCCTATGTGGCCTTGCACTGAGGTCCTGTCTGTACTGTGTCCGAATCACTCATTCAAACAATTATTGGGTCTTACACCCCCTTCACTAATTCTCAGTGTTCGCACCATAAACTCCAGGGGAAAACCTGAGATTCATTATCCTCTATAATCTAGGCCTGAACTGCCTTCCTCACCCTATGTCCACTACTTATGAGAATCTCCCATGACATCCAGACTGGTTATGCATGACTCTCACCCAGAATAGACAAATCTAGAGGCTACCTATGGGGCACTACTAGCAGTATTAAATCTTAGAGAGGGTTTATTCCTTTTTAGGTATTTATAGATTTTCCCTAATGGTAAATTTTTAATAAATATTTGGGAGGGCAGAGAGAAGGAATTATATTATAGTAGTCCCCCACTTATCTGTGGTTTTACTATCCGTGGTTTTAGTTATCCATGGCCAACCACAGTATCAAAATATTAAATGGGAATTTCCATGATGAAAGCTCCCACTGTCCCTTTGATAAATTGTTAAATGGTTCATAAATGATTTTTTAAATTTCTCAACATAACAAATCATTCATATGTTAATAATTTGGGTTTCCTTGTCAATGAGTTGCCTGTTAATATCTTTTTTTATAATTGAGTTATTTCTTTTTCTATAGTACTTCTATTTATATTCTTGATATCAAAACATTTTGTGTAATATGCATTGCAGATATATTTTCCCGATATGTGGCTTTATTTTAACTTTGATTTGGGATTTTCAAAATTAGATTTTAAAAAAATATTTTACTATTTTATAGTTAATCTTTCTCATTGTGATTTTTACTTTTTGTGTCTTACTAAATAAATAATTTAGTACTGAAAGGCATTAAAATATTTTTCTATATTTGCATACAAATGTAGAAAGCAAAACTTAAAATTTTTTAAGTCTTTAATCTTTGTGGGTTTTAATGTAAGTACAATAAGTTCCTATACTACATCGTATTTCCCCCCATGTATATGCTGTCCCAGCATGGTTGAATATTCCACTCTTCAGCCACTGATATATAATGCCAACTTTCTTATATAGCAAATTCTATATTGTTATGAGCCTTTGGGGGCTCTCTACTCTATTCCATTGGTCCCCTTATCTATCCTCAAACCAAGTCAACCCAATTCACTCTTTTATGCCAATATCTCATTGCTATTTGGGGCCTCTTTTATGCTCTATAAATTAAAAAAAATTTTGTTGTTGTTAATCCTCACTCAAGGATAGTTCCATTGATTTTTTAGATAGAGTGGAAGGGAGAGAGGGAGGAAGAGGGGGAGAAAGAGAGAGAGAGAACGAGAGAGAGAGAAAAACAAACATTGATGTGAGAGAGACACATTGATTGGTTGCCTCCCATATGACACCAACCCAGGTTGGGGATAAAACCTGCAACCCAGGCATGTGCCCTTGATAGGGAATCAAACCCACAACTCTTGGTGAGCAGGCCGATGCTCTCAACACTGAGCCAAACCAGCCAGGGCCTCTATAAATTTCAGGATAAACATATCAAGGTTTATAAAAAATACAAATGAGATTTTGATTGGAATTATATTGGATGTGAAAATTTCTTTAAGAAAACTGCCATCTTTACAGTAGTATATTTTTTCATCAACATCAGATATAGCAGACCCATCCTTTTATTTTAAATTCCTTTTCTAAATTCTAGGAATATATTTTTAAATAGTAAATAGCAGTACTTATTTTTTAATCTAATCTATAAATATTTTTTTAAAGAAATAAGTTTAATTTGTTTATATATACTTTACTGATTATATTTATTTTATTATTATATTTGTCTATTTTGTGTTTCTATTATTTTCCTTTTCTTCTTTTATAGTTTTTGTTGAATTGATCTTTATTCTTTAATTATTGCCTCTAACTTAAAACTGGTTTGAAAGTTTTAATTGTA